CCGATCTGGCTAATCTACATGCCTCCGTCGAAGGAGGCATGTAGTCTAGACACACCCCCAGGGGCATGGTGTGAGCCCCACCACAGCCTGCTGTCAGCTCCCCTGCACAGGAATGAAAGCTGGAGAATGTTTTTTTCAGTCATACAGTGAATCTCCCAGTCAGTGTGGGATTATTCCCTGTAGCACATTTTCTGGTGTGGGTTTTTTTTCCAGTTTAGCTTTAACTGTTTCATGATTTTTCCCATTCCCGTGGGAAACTGCTCTCACTGTTATGAAATTTCTCCTTCCAAAATTACCTTTTCTATGCCGTCCCATTACTCCTCGTTACAGCCATTAGACAACTCCTCTCCTTCTCCCACCCCACAGTGCTCTGAATGATCCATTCCTTCAGTCCTGGATTGGCTGGGACGTGGAGTAAATAGCCTTTTTCCAGATCTCACCTCTGTGATTTTGCTGCTAGTGCTATCGCCTGTATGTTCCTTTGGGTAGAGATGGTGCCATGCCAGTTTAAGGTCTGAGCCGACCTCTCCTACAAATACTTTAACAGTCTCATCCCATACTTTTTTGGCTATTTCAAAAATAAAATAAAATACTGTTCCTACTGAATTCAAGGACAAAAATCCTGTTGACTTGGATAAGACAATAATTTCCCCCCAGGCGCTTGGGCCGTGTTTCAGCAAAACCCTTATACATGTGCCTAACTTTAAGCATATACTCAAGTCCCAGGCTATGACTAGACTGTATGCCTTTTTCGACAGAGGCTTTGTCGACAGATACTGTTGACAAAGCCTCTGTCGAAAAAGAGCATCTAGACTACAACCAGTATTGTCAACAAAGCAAGCTGCTTTTTTGAAAGAGAGTTTAGACACTCTCTTTTGAAAAAGCACAGTTTGCGTGCAATAGCACCTTTTTTCGAAAGAGTACTTTCGAAAAAAGGCATTATTCCTCATAAAATGAGGTTTACCGCTGTCAACAAAACTGCCGCGTTCTGCCGACTTACTGTCGACAGAACGCGGAGGTAGTGTAGACGCAGGTAGAGTTTTGTCGACAAAAGCCAACTTTTGTCGACAAAACCCTGTAGTCTAGACACCCCCCCCCCCAGTGACTTCAATGAGATGCTTAAAGTTTAAGCATGTGCTTGAGTGGTTTGCTGAATTGGGTCCTTGAAGGATACATGTCTTTTCATTATCTGACTCCTGCGTGCGTCCCACTAGAATGCAGTTTGGAAGCGGCTCCCCTTCCCAGCTGCTAATCTCACCTGTATACCTTTCCTCCCCTCTCCAGGTGATATGCACCCTGGTGGCGGCTTTCCTGCATTTCTTCTTCCTCTCCTCTTTCTGTTGGGTGCTGACCGAGGCCTGGCAGTCCTACATGGCCGTGACGGGCAGGTTACGGAACCGCATCATTCGCAAGCGCTTCCTGTGTCTTGGATGGGGTGAGAATTATGGGTCTGTGACTCCACAGCATACAGGAATCTAGCCTAGAGTGGGAACATGGGGGCCTGTTTATCCTCTGAACCTTAATGTACCTTTGTGCTTAGCCAGGGAGGGGAAGAAGGCAGTTCTGGAAACATCTACCTATGAAAGTATGTGGTGGGGGATTGCATCTCTTTCTCCACCTTCCATTCTCCCTGCATTTTCCTCTTCCTTCTGCTCTGTCTCATTCTCCCTCCATCCCTTC